AATATCCTGCAAGAATTCTAGGCCAGTGCGTGTTTCCCCCTTTTTCCAGGTGGAGAAAGCAGAATTAGAAAGGCACCCAGGGAGGGACTGTGAAGAGACATGACCAATTATTTAGCAAAGAGATCTAAAATTACCTGTACAAGGAGGTTTGGGTGGCCCAATCAGATAAGTATTTTGATTTCATCTCAGGTCATGATCTTATGGTTTGTGGGTTCAAGCCCCAAGTCAGGGATTCTATCTCCTTTTCTCTGTCCCTCCTTGCTCGCTCTCTTTCTGTCTCGAAATAAATAAATAAACTTTAAAAAAGAAGATAAAATGACACCTACAGTCCCACGTTATCCTGTTCACAAGAGTCACAAGGTAGGTTTTATTCCTTATAAATATCTCTTCCTTGTATAACTCAAAGCAAAAATTCCTAATGTCCTCCTATGATGCTTTCATTCTTTCATCCGACATTCTCTGAAAGCATAACCATAGTAGTAGTTTCAGAAACAGTCAAATAACATTTATATGCCTTTGTAAAATTGACAAAGTTGAACATAAGAATCTATGCTTAAGAAAAATCTTAATTCTGGATGAGTGATTAATTACGTAGGAGGGCAGGATTTGAAGATAAGGGGATGAGTTCTGGTAGTAAATAAACAAATAGCTCCCTGGACATGGTCAAAGAAGAAGTTTGCTGTTCCACATCACAACACCTTGGGATACCCCCAAAAACTTGCTCTGCAAATTAGAATAGGTTGGGGGAGAAGGGGATTTCAGAATTTTGAGCTAATTTTCTATCTACCCAATAAGAGAAACGTTAGAAACAATGCATGCTTTCTTTGTAATCCTAAGCCACACCAGGCACCAACTTTGTGAATGGGGTCTCCCAAAGAATCCTCTGAAGGGAACGTGACGTGTAAACATCATGGTGTCTGTTTGTTTGTTCCAGGGACTGTGCCACTGCACACTGTCCCTGACCCTACAACCCAGTGCTTGACCTAGCTGACCCCATGCCTTGGGTTCAGGGGAGATTTTTAAATTTATTTTTGAATTCAAATGCTGTAAAATTCACCCTTTTAATAATGCACAATTTGGCAGTTTTTAGTATATTCAGAGTTACATGACCACCATCACTATCGAATTCCAGAACATTTCATCACCCTGAAAGCAACTTCATACCCACCAGTGGCTACTCTCAATTTCCTCCCTTCTTCTGCCCCCCAGCCACTGGCAGCCACTAATCTACTTTCTGTCTCTGCAGATCTGCCTATTTCGGACATTTCATATAAATGGAATCATAGAAAATGTGGGCTTTTGTGACTGCCTTCTTTCATTCAGTGAATGTTTTCAGGGTTCGTCCATGTTATAGACTGAATGAATACTTCATTCATTTTTATGGCTGAATAATATTCTGTCATGTGGACATGCCTACCACATTTTACTTATCTGCTCATCAGTTGATGTGCTCAGGGAGGATTTTAGTACTAAAAATGAACTGAACTGAACTTGAAACCGATAGACAGTGAATAACTTTTTCCGATTCCTGAGGAGGCTGTTAACATGACAAAATCAGCGATTTAGGATGATGTCTGTGGTGGGTGGGCCATGAAGATCTGATTTGCAGTGAGGAAGAAATGGGCATGATGGAATTTGGAGATTGTTCTACGAAAGAGGGGAGAAAGGCCAAGGTCACCCAAGAAATCTATGTTCAAGGAGAAAACCTGAACTCTCACTCTCTCCAGCTCTGACCATAAAGCCATAAAGCCATCAAGCCACAGGCTTACAAAAGCAGCTCATTCTGAGGGAGGGGAACACCCAGTGATGGTTTCTACCTTGTCTCATATGTCTCCTGGAAGCTCTGTTGAAAATAAGCCTACCACACTCCTTCCCGGAATGCTCATGACTGATAATTGCCTCGTGCACAATTCTCTGCCAAACCCTGTTGTTAATGAAATGATGATTTAGTTATCCTTGTCAGTACTAGCCCAAATTGTATGAGGACCCATTACTGCATCTGTGAGGCTGGCAGGAATGCCCTGCCAAGGCACCTGTGAGCGGTTCTTACAACGGGCATTCTCAGCTCAAGCTTGACTGGGGAGTGGAGGCTGCCAGAAGCCATGGGTGCAGCCTGCTGCCTGGACCCCCGCCCCACAAATAGAGTTGGAAACACCTAGGAGCAAAGTGAGAAACCAGGCCAGAGCACAACTCTGTTTGTCAATTTTGACCTGCAAAGCCTGGGGCTGCTTCTTGTCAGCATGTGGGGAAGGGATGCACTGAAGGACTGTGGTGACATGTCAGATTCCCTGAGGTCCAGGGAGATGCTCAGCTGGCTGGTGGACATGGGCATCCTAAACCACCTCCTCAGGTCATGCCCAAAATATACCTTTCTTCCCTCCTCCCCAGTCTGCCTGTGGTTTGGGGCTTCCACTCCTTTCCCTGCCCCTGTTCCCAGGACTGCACTCTCCAGCCTTCCTGGACTGCTCATGCTGGCTGCTTTGCAAGAGAAGAGAGCAGTAGAAAGAAAGGGAGAGGGACATGGGTATGGTTGGGGCAACCCCATGGTTGCTGGTCAAGGCAAATATAGACAGAAATAAAGTTACTTGGCTCACATTATGTTCAGTACACCTGTGTGGGTACAGGAGTACGTGTGTGCACAAACACACACACACACACACACACACACACACACACACTTCCCCTTCTCTTGTCTTCAGGAATATTCTGTTTAGGAGTGAGGTCCTCAGGTTTGGAACTAGTCTATCCAAGTTATGATGGAGAAATGTAGCTCAGCCTGGAGTGTATTGCCTTTTTGGGGCTTTTGTGAAGTTAGCAGAACCAGCCTCTCACCTCGGCAAGCCGGGTAGTGGAGGCTATGTGGTGGAGGAGTGCTGGTGTAACTCTGGCCACCAAAACCACAGCAGTGTGTAATAGATGCTCAAAACCTGGTTGCATGCCTAGTCATTTATTCTGACCACCTCCTGCATTCTCCTCTAAAAAGGTTGTGGCAACTTACAACAGCATTAATGAAACAGATAAGCTAAATTATGTGAGAGGAGCATATAATATAATAAAACAGAATATAATAAAGTCAGAGGTAAGATCAGCACCTGGGAATCTCTCTTTTGTAGCTGAAATTTGGCCCTGTGAGTCACAGGGCTTCCTGCTTTTGATAGTGAGAAGGTGTCATTGGGGGTCCTGATATGGATGGTGTGTAGGGTCAGAGTGTGGTGCCTTGATACTATCCCTGAAGTAGAGAAAGAAAAGATTCCATGACTGCTTCTGGGGGCACCCCTCACAGGAGGTGGGGGTGGGGGGGAGGATGCCAGCACTCCTGTCAGCACAAGCAACAAAGTATTGCAGCCCAAATTATCCAGCTGGAGCTGAGGGTAAAATCCCCATTATCTATAGTGGCCATTTTCAATGTTTTGTAAAAAGCAGTGGTACCCTTCTACTCCAATAAAATCTTGTGCAAGCTCCTCCCAGAGAGAGGGGGAAAAAGGATAGAGAGGACTCCTTCCTCACAGCAGATTTGTGCTGAGCTCAAAAAAGGCACTAGACTATAGCGTGTCTTGCCTAAAATCTATAGTTCTGTTCTCTTGATGCCATCTGCTTCCTAGGTGGTGTCAGGACATCTCAGGCCCTATGTAGGGGATTTTCCAGGGGTCTCCCCCAAAGATTGTAAGGAGATTCATGTGTAAGGGGTTGGTATTATGAAGACACAAGGTGAGAGCTACAGCAGAGTGATGGCCACAACCTTCACATGACAACAGCCTCCACAATGGCTGTTTCCACCTTCTTGGCCCCATGTTTCCACCTTCCTGACATCACCTCTAGGGTTCCCATGCAGTAGGGGGTTATTTCCCACAGGGGACTTACCATTTACTCTGAACCACCAAACTCACAAGCTAATCTCCATGGTACAGACAGTGCCTGTTGTGGGCAAGGGGTGGGTGGATAGGGGCGTCTGTGGCAGAGAAGGTGCCTGCCATAAAGAGGGAAGATGGAGGTGGAGAAGAAAGCATGGCCGCATCAGAGAAGTGAAAACGGGGTGTGGGTGTGTCAGGGAGGGTGAAGAGACCAGATGGATGCACATTTTGACTTGATTCTATAGGAAATGCCATGTGACGCATGACCAAGAAGGACTTGTCTTCTGTCTAGGACCCAGCTAGGAAACATCCCCAGGCAGAGGGAAGGGCAGGGGCAGTGTGAGGGTCTGCAGCAGCTCCTGCGAATGTACATGAATACAGCTGAGCATGTGTGGCCAGCCGCATCTCTAAACCAAATCCTTCTGGTGGGGATTATCCATTACTTTCTCTAGTTCTTCAAGTCCCTTAATCCTCTAGGCTCTGAGCATGGATAATCCAGGGTTTACATAGACCTGATTTTTCACAAGCCTTTGCAAGACCACTGTGTACTATCTTGCTGGAGGAGAAACTGAGGCTATATGTTCTAAAAAGCCTAGTTCTAGAGCTTCCCTGGGATCATTCTGTGGTGGGCCTTGGGGTATGGGCTGCTGGCCCCTTGTTCAGTGATCTGGCTTCTAAACTTGGTTCTCTCCCCATATCTTATCAAGAGAGGAAAGGATGTACCTAATTGCTTCTTTCAGGCACAGGTTGAGATAATCCCCATTCCCTGGTGCTCCTTCAGCCTACTGGTGAGTGGAGAGCAGGCTAAGAAAGGTATACACTTAATCCTTACCCATGTGGGAAAAAGGGACAGAGGGAGGAAGAAAACTTGAACCTGAGATGAGAAGGGATGGCCAATGCTGGTAGAGGTACAATGTCCCCATGCACACTTTCTTCTCTGAGAGGATTGCCTGTGCTAAATATAAAGAGTTTAGGGCACGGGTCATGGGGATGGTAAGGGGACCAGTGGGCTGACAGTCTGCATCCATGTGGGCACTGTCCATCTATGTATAGGCTTTGACCCACCCTCTCCAAGCCACAGCCTCTGTCATTTGCCCTCTTAGTTCCCTCCTCCTAACTGGGCTGCCTCTTGCTCTCTTTCTCCCTGAGGCTATGACAATGGCTGGGTACCCAGCCATGGCATGGACGTCAGCCTCAGTTTCCAGTTCTCAGCAAGTGTATGAGTGTGTGTGTGTGTGTGTGTGTGTGTGTGTGTAAGGCCTGGGGCTGGGGTCATCCACAGAGCACAGAAGTAGACAGCTTCTGAGGGTGGGGCCGCCCGTCGGTCACACCCTACACCCTGGAGCCCTGAGGACCTGTCACTCAGACCCACCACCAGCCTCAACACCATGAGCAGCCAAAGCAGCATCAGTCACTGACCAGAGGAGCCCAGACGTCACAGGAGTAAGTTAAGCCCTGGAGGGACTGGGTGTGGCTGAGGTCAGTGAAGGGCAAGTAAAGCCAGGAACCCTCAGAAAGAGCAGGAAGCATAGAACAGAAAAGAGGAAACAGCAGAGCTTTCTCTGGTCCTCTCCCTTGTTCAGTGCACAATATCCACACCCCTTTCCCTCGGGACTGAAATCTGGGGGGCGGGGAGCACTGCTGAAGCTGGAGAGAACTGGTAGAGCAGCAAAGAGTGTGAGGATTGGAGGGAAGTATGACCAATGGAATCTCTCTAAAAGTGCATGGTTGGTAGTCATACAACGCCCAAAGGCAGGGACCGGGGAGGCCCAAACTCAGTGGTCATGTGGGGACTGCTGAGGAAACTTGTAGAACCTCAGCTGGCCATGTGATGAGGGACGGAGATAGTGAATGGGGGGAGGGGTGAGATAGTGAATGGGGGGAGGGGTGATTTGGACAAGAAACAAACCCTGCTTTCACTTACAGGTGCTCGCAATGGCCAGTACCTTGAAGAAACTCTGGAATAAATACATCTGGGCCTTTGAAAATGGAGGTAGGAGATGGTGTCATTTAATGGGAACTTTTGCTTGTTTATTCAGCCCATCCTGATGTCAGACATCTTGAGGGACAAGACATAGTAATGACCAAGACCTTGGGAACTGGCTGAAGGGAGTGCTCAGGGCAGTGGGCATGGTGGCCAGTTCAGCTGTCTCCCTGACCCTTTGCTTTTCTAGACCCAAGGATGGATTCCCGGCTCCTCGTACACTTGCCACTCCCTGTCATTCTTCTTTCTGTCTTCTATCTTTTGGTGGTGGCAAGTCCTTGCTTCATGTCTGGATGGGAGTGTCTGAGGTTTGCAGGATCCCTCGCTGCCTATAGCCCAGGCCTGGTGGCCCTCTCAGGGTACATATTCTATGAGGTAAGCCCGGTGGGGCCCTGCAGAGTTCTAGGGTCTTCTCCGTTCTGGGGTGCCCAAAGACCATGATCTTCCTATGCATAAAGCTGAAAAGCTTTGGAGGGGACACATATAGGAGCTGGAGTTCCGTTCCATCTTTGGTGACCCTGCCTTCCCTATAGAGACACAAATCCCATCACCAACTCCCATTTACCTTTTCTTTAAATGGAAAAATAGATGTCAGCAGCAAGCAAGATAGAATGTATTACCGCCCCCCATGCACACCTAAAAGAACCCCCCACTGCCTCCTGTTTCTGCCTAGGCTCTGTTATTCTCTGCCTAGTGTTCCAAGCTCCAAACGCAGGGTCCCTTCCAGACACCTTGCTGTCAGCAAATCATTGGTCAGCATGTGTGCACTGGGCATGAATTGGGTGCCTGGCTGTGCAAGAACCTGCAGAGCCGCTGCTGGAGAAGGCACCCCTCACCCCTGAAGTTTCCGCTCTAGGTGGAGAGTAATTTGTGGAAATGGGTGATTACAATTCACAACAGAAAGTATGTGCTAGGGACGGGGAGGAGGCGCAGAGACCCATTTGGGGTGTCAGGAAGAGCTTTCTAGAGAAAGTGGTCATCATCACTGGCATTTTACTGCAATTCTTACAGTGAGGCACTGCTCTAAGTGCTTTCCAAGGACCTGCTTATCAGTCCTCATACCAGCACTGCCCCAAGATACAAAGGGGCCAGGTAACATAGCAGGTGGTGAGCCTCTCTGGCCACAGAGCTTGCCCCTTCACCCCCAGCCCCTCTGCCTCAGTGCACCAGCTGGGAGGAGATGAGGCAAGCGGTCCAGCCTGAAGAAGCAGGTCCTGACAGCCACACCTCTCACTTTCCCTCCTCTATCCACTGGTCTCCATTCCTCATTAATGTTCACCTCCAGGCCACCCTCTGCACTGCTGACAGAATGATCATCCCAGACACCTACGCACCAAAAGGAACTGCTGACCTTATGAAGGCTTCCCAGCAGCAGGGGTAAGGCAACCCTTTTGATGGGTATAGGAGCCTTCCACAGTCCTCTCAGCTCAACTTACATTCCCACCTCGCCTCCTTCCACTGCCTGGGCAGCCTGCATGCCACCTGCCTCCTCCGAAGCCACACCGCTCCCCAGGCCCACAGCCTTGCTCCATGGGCCCCAGGCCTTGGCTGTTACCTGACCCTGACAAATTCCTACATATTCTGTAGACTCAGGCTTCTCCTGAAGCCTTCCTTGGCTCTCCAAGTCCAGGTCATTTGTTTCCTTCTTTGGGTTTCCACCTCTATTCTCCATGGTGGACCAGGGGCAGGTCTACCAGCTGGGCAGCACTGCTCATGTGTATGTCTCCCTAGCTCTCCGTTCAGTGACTTCCTGGTAGGTCAAAACCAGCCATGGTGGGAGCATTTACACCATAGGAACTGGCCAACTCTACAAATCAGTCTCCCCTCTCCTACCCTAAGGGCCTGTTAAACGATTTGTTGGTCTCACTCTGAAGGGCAAGTGCTTCAAAGGCAGGGTCACTCCTCCCTATTTTTATTTTTATTTTTGTAATTTAAATTAACGTTAGTTAACATACAGTGCAGTTTTGGTTTCAGGAGTAGAACCCAGTGATTCATCACTTACATACAGCACCCAGTGCTCATCCCGACAAGTGCCCTCCTTAATGCCCATCACCCATTTAACCCATTACCCCACTCACCTCCCCACTAGCACCCCCCCAGTTTGTTCTCTGTATTTAAGAGTACCTTATTGTTTGCCTCCTGCTCTTTTGTCATCTGATTTTTCCTTCCCTTCCACTTTGTTCATATGTTGTGTTTCTCAAATTCCACATATGGATGAAATCATATATTTGTCTTTCTATGACTGACTTATTTTGCTTAGTATAATACATTCTAGTTCCATCCACATTGCCGCAAATGGCAAGATTTCATTCTTTTTCATCGCCAAGTAGTATTCCATTGTATGTATATACCACATCTTCTTTATCCATTCATCAGTCGATGGACATTTGGGCTTTTTCCATACTTTGGCTACTGCTCACTTCTCTTTTAAAAGTCAGGCCCAGCATAATGTCTGCTACCTTGCGGAAGATACAGATACTTTGTGAAACATGAGACATACCCCAGAGAGCTTGTCATTTAATTGTGGCAACAAATTGCTCTGCTTCCACCATAATCCTTTGAAAATCTGCCATGTCCACATCCATTTCTTGCTCAGAAGCCCTTGGTAGCTCCCTTGGCCTATATGACCCAAATGTGAACTCCCACAAGGTAAGGATTTGTCTCAGTGCTCAGAACAGTGGCTAGCATGGAGAAGTGCATAGCACCATTCAACCTGTCATTTTCAAATGAATACTAAATGATAAAGTTCAAGCTCCTTAAGATAGTCTTTAAGTCCCCTCATTAACCAATTCTGTTCTCTCTCTTCTTCTGCGGCTGCTCCTCTCCCAGTGGAAGCTTCCGCTGCATTCTCACTGATCCCTTTCTGGCCTCAGGGCAGTTAGGAGAGGTCCAGGCACCCTGCACTTCTCCCTGGCATGCTCAGGGCCTCCTCATTCTCCAGTCCTCTACCAACTTCTGGAACACCTCGTGGTTCCTACTCTTCTTCCAGCCCCAACCTTACAAGGTTTCCTATATCTCAGTGAGTCTTTGAGCTCCTTGGGGGCAGGGTTGATGTGTATAAAGATTGTTGTCCCTCCAACACTCCAGCGCCTGGATTAGGGTCTCACACATAGTAAGTGCTCAGTGTAGCTGTGTGGCCCATAGTTGTGCACATTAAAAAAAAAAATGATAGACCAGCAACACGTATGCACATCCCAGCCTCTGCTCTAGCCACTCCATGGAGGTGATTTGATTAGCAATCACTCACTGAGTATCATTGAGGGTTGGAAAGGGACGATGGTGTCCAGAACTTGACTGGAGGAGGTTTTAGCCTCACAGGCCCTGAGCCAGGTGGGTCTCACCATGGCAGAGCAAGCTTTCCTTTTCTCTTCTTCCTCCCTGTTCATAGCCACCTCACTTCTGGATAACTACAGCTACTTCTGCCAGTCTGTAAATTATTACCAAGATAAGGGGATGGCAAGACATGGCAGCGTTAGGCCTGGAGAGAGTGTTGATAGGATGCACTTTGTAAAAACTGGAGCTTGGTCATGGTGGCGTCACTTATGATGGGAGGCAGTGAATCCATTGGCTCCATGCAGCTTTGGAAGACCTCAGTTTGAATCTCAGCTCTGCCAATTACTTGCTGTGTTACAATGGGTGGCTTACTTACCTTTTATGGGCCACAATTTTTTTAATCTATAAAATGGGATCAATAATACCTACTTTATAAAAGGCAACAATTGAAAGAAGATTGAAGTGGCTATGTATGAAAGTGTTTAGCCCTGGGCCTGGCACACACTGAGTGGTAGCTAAGTGGTAAGTATTTCATTATTTTTAGCTGTTCTCTGTTCAACTGTAGCAGAACAAAAAAGCTTCTTTGTAGGAGAAAATCTAACTGAGGCTTGACAAGTCACCAGGTAGTGATTTAGATCCTGAATTGGGAGATACTGAGTGATGGGCTGAAGTCTTGCTACTCAAAGTGTGGTCCCCAGACCGGCAGCAGCAGCATCACCTGGGAACCTGTTGAAAATGCAGAATCTCATGTCCCACTCCAGGCACACTGATTAAGAATCTGTGTTTCAACTGACAAGACGACCTGGAAATCTGCGTGCTCATTAAAATTACATGGCTACAGGCTACAGCACCTTTGGAGAGTCCTTCTGTTAACACTCTCAGTAGCATCTCCCCATCTCCCTGTGCTCACAGGCATCTTCCTGCAGACAGGTAAGCACTGTGGGAGCAGGGGGCACCTAGGAACAGTGGGGTCTGGAGCTGAAGCCAGCCTTGTTGGGGCCAGCTGCACCACCAGCAGGACAGTGGTCTGACTGAACTTCCCCTTGATTCCCAGCAGATGGCGAGCGTGTGTTGATGATGCTTTTCAAAGGCCATTAAATTGTTTGATACTGAAAGCACCAAAGTCCCTTTGGCTCTTACACACTTGTATGGAGTTATCTCTGTTAGCTGGGTCTGGGTTGGGTTTTAAGGCGCTCTGTTTGGATGCTTCCCTCAAGCATCCTTGTTGATGTTCTCAGGGTTTGTCCAGGTGGCCACATCTGAGGCTGATCTCAGAGCAAAACCTTGGTCCCATTACCTAGCAGAGGAAAGATGCTCCTTGATGTAACACCTCACACCACCAAACGCTCTCATGGGCCCCCACTCTTCATTCATGCACCTGCATAAAAGTAAGCACTTTCCCCCATTAGCAACAAGGTTCTAGGCTAAATGAAAATGGAAAGATAAACAAATTTAAAAACCTAATATTATGTGGCAAGGATCATCATGCACCAAGAGCCATTCTTAAGTGTTAATGAGGAGAAAAAACACTACTTGTGAATCCAGACAGTTTGTAGGATTGAGTGGGATGGGGCGAGGTTATAATTTGGAGGAAGTGATGAAAGGGAGGGGACTCTTTCTAATCAAAAACTTGCCAAAATGAAGTCTGAGCAAAGAACATTTGGGAATTTGTCTTATGGGACCTGGGCTGGGTGTTCAATACCTGAGTTCTCTTCCCAGTGCCCTGGGAAGGATATTGGAAGGAGCCCAGTCTCTGAAGCCAGACCGTGTTCAAATAACCTTGGGCAAGTTATTTAACCTCTCTGTGCCTCAGTTTTCCCATCTGTAAAATGGAGCTAAATATAAACCACATACTATTGTATTTATATAATATTTTAAACATGTAAAGTACCTGGCACACAGTAGATGCTACGTAGGTGTTTAACAAGTGTTATTTCCCTCAAGTTTTAGTCTCCCCTTCAGCAAAACAGGCAGAATTGCCCTGTCTTTGGCAGTTGAGACCCCAGGAGAAGAGTAGAGAATCGACACCATCTTTTCTTCCTCTCCAAGTCTTCTTCATATTACGAAAGAAGCCAGAGCACATCACCTTTCTGCATGTCTGGCATGTTCTTCAAACAGTGGGCTGGCGCCAGATATGTGTCACATGGTCAAGGTAAGTGACACTGTTTTAGGCAGCCTTGCCCCAGGCCCTTCTGAGGCAGGTCCCTGTCTGCTGGCTGAGTCCTGAGCTTGGGAGGTGTGTATCCCTGTAAACAACAGTTTGGTGCTAAGGTTCCCCTTCTTTGTGGCCATGAAACCAGGCCTCTGCTCCCATTTTATCTCTGTTTTTCTTCAGAGCTTCCTACCACCCTTGGGCAGGGGACTGTGGGAGATTCTCAGAGCCATCTGCCTTGACAGTACAGAGGGAGTTATAAGCACTCTCGTTTGGCATCCTGTCAGCCCCAACCCACCATGATGACCTCAAACAGCTCGTGCCAGACCTCCTCATGATAGGACCTTTCCAAGGACTTTTTCTGTAAGGTATGCAGAAATGCTCCCTGCAGCTTAGACAATTGGAAGATGGGAGAAAAAAAAAAAAAAAAAAAAAAAAAACCACTAGGCCCAGCTCCACTATTTCGCTTTATCTCCCCACGCCACCCTATAGCCTCCTTTGTCAGGATGCTGAATGCTTTGGTCCCCGTCTTCACATGCCTGTACTATGGACTGGCCAGTCTGGGACCCTGTGTGCAGCTCTACCTGTGGTGGAAGTGACATTTAACCATCCTTCAGCAGGTAAGAAAGACCCATCAGCTCCAGGGGTCTTGGCTGAGTCCTGGGTTCTATTCTTAGTTGCACCAGTGATGTGGTATCTGAACACAAACAAGCCCTTCTTAACGCTGTTCTTCCTTAGTTTCTAAACTTGTAAGGTTCTCAGTAACCATCTTGTCAATCCTAGAACCAACCCTAAGTCACTGACCTGATGTGGGACCTGGAGCAAGTGACTTCCACACTTCAGATGTCAGTCTAATCCATGAAGTAAGGGTGGTGGGCTATATGACCTCAAAGCACTAATATCCTGAGAGCCTGGGATAACTGATGACCCTTCATGTGACCAGAGGGTGCCTTGTGGTTTGGGGAGTGCCAATGCCAGCTGGTGGTAGCAGCCTGAGGTATTCCTCAGGCCGCCTAGGATTGATTGAGTCCATCATCAATGTTCACAAGACATGGCTGGATTGGTGCAAATGGGGAGCCAGAACTGGGAGAAGGATCAGGAAGACTCTTGGGATCATAAATAGGGAGAAAATGGGGGCAATGCATCACCATCCCCCTGCCGGTAGACAGGGAAGTGAAGACAAGAGGAGTCAAGGGTAACGTTCTTCCAGTTCCTCAGCACTGCTCACTGCTCTCCTGTTTATGTTCTCTCATGCTTTCCTTCACCCAGGGTCAGTTGCCACCGTTGCCCACTCCTCCTACAGCCACTTCACTGAGTGCTCCTTCCCTGATGGGTTCAACATGGCGGTCCTCCTCTGCAGCCTCAGTGTCATCAGCCTTTTCCTCAACTGCCACCACCAGACGTACCTGAGGGGCAAGCAGGAGAAGCTGACTTCAGGGGCAGGACCCAAGGACTGAAACTAGGAGAGCTGTCCCCACAGAGAGTCGGCAGAAGACAGTGAGGGTCACAGCCCACCTGTGCTGAACAGATACCTCTGGGCCTGCATTTCATTCTGTGAAGGGTGGAGGAGAATTGCCTTCTTTCTGAAGTTCAGGAGAACAGAAATGGACCAAGCTCCTTGCACTCACTTCTGTTACAGCATTTCTCACATGGATTTGTCACTGTTTGATGTGAGCCCCCTCAGGAGGGACTATCTTGTTCTCAATGTTCCCCCACCACCTGGCACAGCACCTTAATAAATGTGCATTTGGGTCCTTGTATTCCATGACTGGCCGTCATGACATTTGGTGAAGATCAGGGCTGGTGGCATGCCTAAAGCCAAGGCTGGCTTGATATCCAACCTTGCAGTAGGAAATGATGCTAAGAATATGCAAGGGTGGGTTTGTTTGCTTTCTAGCATGGCTGTGTCAATGTTTGCCCCTGTGTCTCTTCTTGTCTCTTCACTCTTACCTGCACTTGTATGATTCTGTGTGTGTAAATGGGAGAGGGTTATGTGTATATGTCCAATTTTTTTTCAATAAACATGCATGTTTCCATTTGAGTTTCTCTCAGTGTCATCTGCTTGTCTCTTCTGTATGTCTATGTAAGTGCCACATGGTAACAAAAGCCAACTGGGATCAATATTTTTCCTGTCCCCAATGGGAAACATGGAGGTTCCCTGAGAAATCTGAATATATGTTCCACTGAGGGCCTCCCAAGAGGCATGTGAGAAAAGGAGAAATGGGAAAAATGAATATAGCCATCCACTTCACAGAGAGGGAAACTGAAGACCAGAAAAAGGGAATATATGTCTGAGATAATATAGTATGGTGGAAGCAAACATTTGCTGATCCATTTAAAACCAGGAGTGGATTCATCAGGCTCTGTGCTGACAGCTCAGAGCCTGGAGCCTGCTTCGATTCTGTGTCTCCCTCTCTCTCTGCCCCTCCCCTCTCATGCTCTGTCTCTGTCCCAAAAATAAATAAAAACATTAAAAAATTAAAAAAAAACAGGAGTGGATGGGTCTCTGGGAAGCAGTTGGCCTGGGAGCTGCCTCTGGGCTTCCAGGATGCTTATTTTTCTTTATAATCTCTCTTCTTCACTCTTTCCCCCCACTAAGTAAATCCTTATTTTGCGAAGGCTCCCCAGTAAAGAACATTCAAGAACTGTTGAAGTTTATGGAGTGCTATTTGGGGACTATCTATCCATCAGATACTTGAGCTAATTAACCGAAGGCCAGGCAGGGCTGCATCCTGTGGACAGTATATTCAAAGAAAATTTCCTCTAAGTTAGCAGGATGTGAACACATCCCACACAATTTTCCATACACAGGTTGAATGCCTTTGGAGGTGGGTGCATATCTCCTTAAACACATAAGACTAAAGTCTGTTCATGTGCTTAGGAGCCAGGATAAGGAAATATTACTCATTCCAGAGTTCAGAGCAAATGTTTGTCCAGGTCTGTGTAGCTGCTTTGCCTGATCAAGCAGCACAAGAGGAAGTGATATGTCCCAGTTCATGTCTGAATGTAAGGTTTTGGCTGGGGAGACCCTGACTCTACCTGGTTCAGGAGTACTGTGCAGGTATTGTTTATCAGTGTAGAAAGATTGTGTGAATCTTATAAGACACAAAGTTAATTTGTACTTGCCAAAACATAGCCAAATTCATAATTAATATTGTAGTTCATTTCTATGAACTTTTCTGTTTTGAGATAATGATAAGCAAGAGTGCTGGTGAAATTCTTAAATATATAGCAGAGCTGAGTTATAGCCGACAGTGGCCATGGGCCAAGACAAGGAGGCTGTGAGTAACCAGTGGGATGGTCCCAGAGACAGAAGCGAGGGGGCTGTGCTGAATCTGACATGAGGGTGCAAAAGATGATGGTCTGGGTTCCTACCTATCACTTCCTAAATCAGATTCCATCTAGTTGAAGGAATAACACCCACCCAAGACGGAGCAGCTTCGTGGTCACCTTCTAGCTCAGAGTTCAGTGAACACCCCTACCCTTGCCAGCTTCCATACACACTCCATTGTATGCTCAGCTGAGAATGTGTCCCAGGTGCTGCTGGGCCTGGACAGGTGCCTGGAGCCAGAGGTTAGGAGAAAAGCCATGTTCCTCTTTTACACTCCCTCCATTACATCACCCTCCTTTACACTCTTTCTTGGGGTTCTCTATGTAAATGGAGGAACCCTTCTATAAGAAGACAGAGTCTGCCTTTTGTCTTTTGTCCTTGGGCGGTCTTAAGGTAAAACATCTGCAAAGGTGGACTTTAACTAAGGTTTTTGGAATTCAAACCCTCCCAATCAGGATCTAAGATCTTATGGATTTGCAAGTTTTGGGTAGTCAGTAAGCTCCTGCTGCAGATACCGGTGGGAAGAAGAGGGAATAAGCCACCAAAGAACTAGAAGACCTTGACTTGAAGCATCTGCTTATCAACAGGGAGAGGGAGAACAAGGGCTCATGAATAAAGTAAGGGATGATCCATTTCCAATAGCTCACACAGAGCCATTATAAAAGTGGAGACCCATGCTGGAGGACAGCACTCACTGGGCAGCAGCCCTGGACTCTCAGACAACAGCCAAGGTCAGAGTCGGCCTTTGCCCTCTTGCTTCCTGGGGAGGATGTGGGGCAGTGCACATCCTCTTTCATTGTCTTTTTTTTTAAAGTCTTATTTATTTAAGTAATCTCTACATCCCATGTGGGGCCTGAACTCACGACCCTGAGATCAAGAGTCACTGTTCCCAGACTGAGCCAGCCAGGAGCCCCTAGGGTCTTTTTCATGTATAGAACTCAAGTAGGAGAGGTTTTCAGCTCTAAAAAATATATTCTGACAGAACTGACATAATAATATATGATCATAAAAACCCCTTCTTTTAAAAATATTTAATAACTTAGCAATATAATATTAAATAAAAATGTAAGAGCATCCCAATTTTGTAAAGAATTACATATAAAGTATAAATACAAAACTGTTTGCAACAATCATCTATAGATGGTGAGATTATGGATGTTTTTAATTTCTTTGTATTTTTCTGTTTTCTGCAATGCTTATTCCTTTTTTTAATCGTAAAAATTTTACTATTGCAAATACAGGATACCTAGGCTGTTCTTTTTCCTGAGAGTTATGAAAGTGTTTATTGGATCTGCTCATCAGATCTTCATTATTGACACAGGTGGCACAGTTGACCCTACTACTGATCTCTCGGTCATGCAACATACAAATATAGAGGGCTAACTGTATTCTAGGTGCTGAGCTCTGTGTTAGGGATCTGACACATGGCAGGTATGATTTGCAGTAAAGGACATGTGAGTACGTAAAAAGCTAAACCTCTGGCCACTTCCACTGATCCAGGGAGTGTTAGGAAGAAAGCCATTTTTGTCCCCTGGTGGTGGTCAAAGAAGATTTTGAAAATAGACTTATATATAGTGTCAAATGTGAAAATGGGGCTGAACCCCACCTTTCTGTATCCAGTCTTCCTGTGTGACTCCATTCCTTGCTTTGAAGACAGCTTCCAGAGCATTAGAAGTGAGGTAGGTATCCAAATGGAAATCTGAAACACTTTCTCAAAAATTAATCAAATAGGGTACATTAAAAAAAAATATCTGTGTTTAAGACATAACTTTTGCCCATACCATGGACTCATTTTTGGTTTGTTTGTTTATTGATTTTTTAATGTTTATTTATTTTTGAGAAAGAAAGAGGGAGACAGAGCAAGAGTGGGGGAGGGGCAGAGAGAGAGGGAGACAGAATCTGAAGCAGGCTCCAGGCTCTGAGCTGTCAGCACAGAGTCCGATGCGGGACTAGAACCCACGAGCTGTGAGATCATGACCTGGGCCAAAGTTGGACACTTAACCAACTGAGACACCCAGACACCCTTCATTTTTGGTTCTTAACAAACACTTTTTGAAGTGAGTATCTGAGGGTGGGGAGACTTCATAACAATCTTTATATATATAACAAAAGTTGATTGATAGTTGTGAATGATAGTGATCATTGAATTACAGACTTCTCAAGTTTCCAATGACCTTAGTATCTAAATACTTTTACTTGAGGGCTGCCTGGGTGGTTCAATCTGTTAAACATCCAACTTCGGTTCAGGTCATGATTTTGTGGTTCATGAGTTTGAGTCCCATGTCAGGCTCTCTGCTGACAGTGTGGAGCCTGGAGCCCGCTTCCAGTTCTGTGTCTTCCCGTCTCTCTGCTCCTCCCCCACCCCTTCCCACAATGTCTCTCTCTCTCTCTCTCTCTCTCAAAAATAAATAAACATAAATAAACTTTTACTTGAGAAGTGGAGAAAATGCTGTCCATAGATGAAAAGAGACTTTGTCCTGAATCAATATGATGACAGTTACACCTGAGGCCTTGGTTTCTTGACTTCTATCCAGGGTTCTATGTCTTCAGTGTCAAGATAAAAGAAATGTATTCTTGTAAACAGGGCAGTTCGGATATCCCAGCTCCTGAATTCTAGCTGGTAGCTCATCCTACTGGAGAAATTGACATTAGGTTTCTATATGCCACTCTCTACCACCATCCTGTGCCTCCTTTTTTTTTAAAATATAATTTATTGTCAAATTGGGTAATGTATAGTGTGTAAAGTGTGCTCTTAGTTTTTGGGGTAGATTCCCATGGTTCATCACTTACAACACCCAGTGCTCATCCCAACAAGTGCCCTCCCCAATGCCCATCACCCATTTTCCTCTCTCCCCTGCTCCCCCCTCCCATCAAAGCTCAGATTGTTCTCGTATTTACGAGTCTCTTATGGTTCGCCTCCCTCTCTGTTTGTAACTATTTTTTCCCCTTCCCTTCCCCCCATGGTCTTCTGTTCAGTTTCTCAAGATCCACATATTAGTGAAACCATGATATCTGTCTTTCTCTGAGTGACTTATTTCACTCAGTATAATACCTTCCAGTTCCATCCACATTGTTGCAAATGGCAGGATTTCATTCTTTCTCATTGCCAAGTAGTATTCCACTGTATATATAAACCACATCTTCTTTATCCATTCATCAGTTGATGGACATTTAGGCTCTTTCCACAATTTGGCTATTGTTGAAAGCACTGCTATAAACATTGGGGTACATGTGCCCCTATGAATCAGCATTCCTGTATCCTTTCTGTGCCTCCTTTCTTATCCCTTATTTCAAGCATAGGGTGTTTCTGTGGTGATTAAATTTACCATTTAGCTCACTGGTTGCAAAATATCAAATAGGATCAGGATGAAAAGAGGAAAGACACAGAGGAAAAAATCGTTTAAAATAGCCTACTTTTAAAAAGAAGAAGGAAAAAAAAAGGTATCTGTGGTCTTCAGATTCTGTAGGAGCAAAAAAGGGGAACACGGGTGTGGTTTTAGAAGCTCCAGCACCAGATGTGAAGACAGTAGCCTTACAGAGACTGTTTCACCAACTCCCACAATCGCATAGGGTCAAGTCCCTGTTATTAATTCCTTACCATACATACCTCTTAGTGGTCAGCTTCTTTGATGAAACCCTGACTGATACCATTTCCCCGCAGTGTATAAAGCTCCACAAAGTTACAGACAGCCCTGAATTAAAAATGGAGAGAAGT